GCCACACAGAGACAAACAACCACACACACTCACATTCACTCCCGAGGGCCATTGAACCAGTGTCCGGTTCACGTAACGTGCATGTTTTTTTGACGGTGGGAAGGAGCCGGAGAACGTGGAGAGAACCCACGTAAACTCCACACAGAAAGGTCCTGGTTCCCCCCGGGGACTTGACCCGGGAAAACCTCTTACTGTGAGGCTACCATGTTAACCAGCACACCAAGGGAAATCGGTTAGAAAAAAAAAAAAACACCGTCTCATCAATTGGAAGATCAGCTGTTCTTTAATGTAATATCTCATCCAATTCTGCAATTCTGTACAGCCAAGCCTAGTCATTTTTGGAGAGAGCTAATTAGCTGTGATTATACAGACAGATCCTTTGGATCAGCCGGGGGGGGGGGGGGGGGGGGGGGGGGGCTGGCTGGTGCGACAGGGCGAATAGCAGTTTTCCGACAGAAACAGCTTGGTTTGGCACAGTGGGAGAGGTACGTTTTGAGTGTCCACACGGTCAAGAGCATGTACTCGAGTCTGCATGGCCGAACAGAAGGAGCGGTAATAGCATTAGCTGTTGCTCCCCCGACCACCTGCAGGGAGGAGGAGTTTGATTAAGGACAGTAATCGGCATCGTCTCCGCCGCATGCCTCCATCTGTTCAGAGCCATGCACGTCAATTAGTCTGCGCACTGCTAGAATCCATTCTGACCCTTTCAAAACGGGCTCTGATCAGCTTTAAATCAGAGGGATGAGGCGCTAACTGGCCACAGCTGTAATGACACCTCACAGCCATTTAAAAACATTAAGAGGAGCTCAATGAAGAGGTGTTAAATGTTACAGAGAGATGAGAAAAACCAATTATCAGGAGGCACATCCAAGGGTACGATTTGAGATATCACAGTTACGATGACTTCCATCGGTGGGTGTCTCAGCGTCCTAACATCTGGCTTTCAAGTGGGCGTGCATTTGAATGAGCACAAAACGATTACAACGAATGCAAATTCACATTGGCACGAAACCACACAAAGTAAATAGATGATCGTTTAATAGATATTGAATGTAAGAGCTCGAATACAGGCAACTGATCTTCTGGGATCTCGGAGATGTTTCGCCCCTTGTCCAAAACGCTAACGCGCTTGTTGATACGTAACCATGGCAACAGGGATGCTGTTAACCCGTTGGAGCAGCCGACCAAGCCTTCGAAAACACAAGAAATGCCTCGAGAAGGCCCCCGAATCAAGCTGAGCTCGAGAAATCTAGAAAAAAAGGTGGAAGAGGGTTAAACCATTTCCTACCTTTGTCATCAACGGGATTTTAAGGTCACGAGCAAGTAAAACGAACAAGCTTCAGCGGCCTGTTTGTCACACCTCTCGAATCAGCCTTGAGACACAATGCAAATATGGTGGAAATTTCAAATTTTGATGAGACTGAAGAGTTTTTCCGAGAGGGGGAAGGAGATGTTAGTTTTATTGAAACACAAAGTGGTCAGCATGACAAATATCGACCTGGGAGTGTTTCTCCTCAAAGAGGGTTCATCCATCATATGACTGGACAACACACACAGTTGTTAGTTAAATTGTCAGGCTGCAAAAAGAAGACCCAAAACCAACGAATGTCAATGTCCAAAGATTTAGCTACACCGGCCTCTCTGTTAGGCTTCCACTTTTTACCTATTTTTCATTAGATTTATGCTCCATCCTACTCACTTTAACAGCCAAACCCTATGTTTATTACAAATCAATACGGCAGTCATACAATAAAGTATTATTATTCTGAGTTGGAGATGCTAGCAGTTGCTAACAGCCACTGCTAAGGCATTTCATGTGGGTGCAGTGTCCTGGAAATGTAATCCTTCACAAATCTGTGGCGTTAACTGACCTTTTAGAAAGAGGTCTCTGAGTGCCATGGCCTGATCAATCCCACTGTATGATGCCAAAGTGTTGGTGTCAGATTTAGAGAAATCCTCTTCAGACCTACTTATGATTTGAAATTTTCTGCTTTTAGTTTTTTTCAAAGAAGTCCATCTTTGCTGGTTTCTCTCCTTCCCTCCCTGTCCCCTACTCACAGACTCTCTTTAATACTATTTTCAGAAGCACAGTGAGCTCCACTTATGAGCAGCAGAGCGGATTCCATCAAGTGTTGTCATGACAACAGTCCCTTGGTAGCACACAATGCACTTTGGCTCATCTTCTTCCTTTTTTCTTATCTTTTCTAATGGCTTTCTTCCCTTTCGGCCTTAAAAGTCTAAGGTCAGAGACCGTCCTCTTTTCTTTGTTTTTTTTTCTTTTTTGTTTACCTTCAGCTCAGTTTGGAACAAAACCTTAAGGACCCAAAGACAAACATGTTCTATCATGGAGAAAAATGTTGAACAAAGGAACACACATCCCTCGCTAAGAAAGATGGAAGGTGTTAATATGAGACATTTTGCTAATGTCAGTCTCAAGGGAAAATTGATGGCATTTGGTCAAATGAAGAGGTGTAGCCTCCCCAGAGGCAACAAAATATTGACATAAAAGTGTTATCCCTTTAACAACCTTGTCTAAACAGGTTAAAAAAATAAGTCTGGGTATGATTCCTAAATCAAGCGTGAGGTATGACAATTCTTCCTTTAAATTTAGCCCTTTTACCATAAAGTGTCTAAACTATGGGGGTGAAAAATGTTTTGATTCTGCTGGTTATTGCTGCAAAGAAATATTTTCCCATCCTTTTCTCTAAGCGTAGATGTCAAAGGGTAAGATGGTCCAAACTTTTTGATTTGACCTGATACACCACGGTATTCTGGGAAATCCATGACAAAACACCGGTGGCTCCAAACATCAGTGCAGAACTGTGATGTCTAGCAAGAAAAATGTATCTGGTCTTTTCCTGAGTTCCCCCCCCCCCCCTCCCGTCTTTGCCAAAGCACGATTGGTTTAGCCAACCAGACCGATGCCATTTTGCCCTGCAGCCGACTCCGAGCTGCTTGTGTTGGGGAGACTAAAAGCCCGAGGTTAGAAAATAAATAAAAAATGACATTGTGCCTTCAATGAACACACGTGCTCTATGGGTCAACACATAATTCAGGGGGAAGCCCCCGCTCAGTGGTGGACACCGGTGGGGATTTAAAGGAAAACATAATCCACCCACGCTTATTTATTCATGAAAGAATAAAGAGAGAAGATGTGGAGCCAGAACACGTGCGGCAGCACTCACAAAGGACGAGCGGGGAAAGATCCGGGAGACGAAACGAACCAGACGCAAGGTGCCCCACCGAGGCTGCGAAAGAGGGGTGGGGGGATGTATTATTAAACAGCGAGGGTCTTCGATTATTTACGACAGCTGCAGGAGGTGGTCCGCACTGGCTGGAATCTCGGTCCCGGTGTAAGACGAGCCTTCCCAGTTTAAGGTGGTCGGCGGGATTGAATGTCAGAAGCAATTAAAGAGTCCTAGAGAGGAAGCGACCAAGACATAAAGAGGACAAACCAGTGGCTTTCGATTAAAGCAAAAACAACACCGTTTTTTGGGGTTTGTTTTTCTCGCTATCTACTTTGGACAGCAAGGATTGTCCGATATGTGCCTTTTGGTGTTGAAATTTCTGTCTTTATTGCATTCTTTTCTTTTATTCTTCTTCCATCCCAGAAGTCTTTGGGGTCTTAGGCATCCCATTAGAGGTGTGCGAGATGGCTCGTGTCCCCACAGTGACCCAAAAAAGACAAACACACACACACACACACTCGCAGACGTATGCGCATCCCCTTCTCACGTTTACACACCGACAAAGCTAGTAGCGATTCGCCAACCCTGCCAAGAGAAACGCACAAAACCATGGCCCGAAAAGTCCAAAGCGTGACCCACACAGAGAGTTCGCCTCAGATGAAGACGGGCCGAGGAGCTTTTTCGCTGAAAGGCACGCTGTTTTCTCGGGAAATTTGTTCGGATTTAGGGTTCGAACAGTTCTCAATTCATCTAGAGCTGTCCCGCATGTTCGAAACCTCCAAGATCCCAATGTCTCGTACGTCTTTTGAAAAGGGTCCCAGTGTTTGGGAAGTCTGTATCCCGAGTGGATACTGTTCCTCAGATGTGTCCAAAAATGGCACACATTTTAGCACATACATTTCTGTCCCCTTACTTAGTTTTAATCTTCTGGACATTAGCAGGTGTCCCGAGGCAGAGGCTCCAGGTCTGGTCACTAATCTAAGGACTCCCCCATCGGCCATACTGAATGATTGGGTTTACGCTCAAAACAGCCTTCTTCTTTTTCTAATTTTTCCTTGAATAGTTGATCGATTCCTCTTTGCAGATTGCTTTTTGTCTTAAATGTTCTAGTTTTATGTATGTGTTTCTTTATGTGTGTGTGTGTGTTTGTACTTTTTTGTCTATCTATATGGGGTCCTCATTCTGAAGTTTTAGTTGCTAGGACTCTTCTGTAAAATGAGGACCTTTTCGACATGACGTGTTGACGTAATCAACATCGCCCTTTCTGTCTGAAATATTCTTGCAGCTTTCTCATCCAGCACAACGCATCCGCCAGGCTTCCTCTTACTTCCTTGGTGCCACTGTTTTTTTTTTCCCCCTCTTCTCGCACTGTAATCCGTTCCTTTGTGCTTCTGCCTCGCTGACATGTCAGTCCCTCGCAGCATTTCTGGCCGCAGTTGTGACTCGTTAGCGCCATTTAGAAACTTCTTTCCGGCTCATTTGGCTCCTGGCTCGGTTCAGCCACACTGATATTCGGCGTGACTAGTGATTACCCCCCTACGGCGGATATGACACCTTCATTTCCATCAAGACCCGCAGCCAACAGCGACCGATTTTCCTTACATTTTCCCTCTATTCTTGTTTTTTCATTTGATTTATTTAGTATTACAGTTTTAAATGTATTTGTAATGAATTTTTCAGCCCCAAGTCGACGAATGGGGTTTGAATTGGAGACGAGGGACGCCTGCTGTGAATGGATCGAGAAATTCTTGCTGGCTGTTGATTATATCTCCTTGTGTCTCTCCCCTGGTGCTCGCACAGGAGTAAAGCAGCATGCCGTTGGTAAAGAGGAACATCGAGCCCCGGCACTTGTGCCGCGGGGCATTGCCGGATGGGGTGACCAGCGAGCTGGAGTGTGTGACCAACAGCACCCTGGCAGCCATCATCAAGCAGCTGGGCAGTCTGAGTGAGTATCCTGCAAACACAGAAAGACTTGGGCTTGAGAAAGACGTTTAAGATTGTCCAATCAGTCTGAAAAATGCTTGTAGATTAATCTAAAGCAAAAAAAAACTGTTTAAGAATACAGGCTAAAAGTTGGTATAATACTTGTCTTGAGTTAAATCCTAAGACATAATACCTGATTTTTAAAGTCTATATGAAGCTTGATGTCGTATTGTCCCAATCAATCAGAAAATGTTTTTAATCTTATACAGTTTTGTTGTCTTAATACAATAAAAAAAGCCAGTTTCACTACAAGGGAACTTAAAAGTACAAAGGAAAAAACCCATCAAACTGTTTTAGCTATGATATTTTCATTGGTCCCTTCACAGTAATCCGGTGTATCTTTGGAGTTCAGGAGATTCCAAAATGCCCTTAGGAGTGAGTGTGAGTGTGTGTGGTTGTTTGTCCTTGTGTGTCTCTGCGTGGCCCTGTGATGGATTGGTGGACCGTCCAGGGTGTACCCTGCCTCTCACCCATTGACCACTGGGATAGGCTCCAGTCCCCCCATGACCCCATTAGGGAATAAGCGGTAATGATAATGGATGGATGGAGGAAGGGTTTTTTTTCCTTCTATTGAACATTAATATGGCGGGAAAGGTCAGATCTCAGTACTAATCATCACCAAAAAACGCAGTCCTGTACATTTATGTAAACATCTATGTGTCCCTTTGGAAACCAGCGCAGTTTACGTGGAAACCAGTGAGATATTGAAAGCAAATTGAAAGCCTGAAGGAGGATCACAAAGTGGATATGTTCAAAGCGAGATGAAAAGTAAAAGAGGCTATAGCAACAAGATCAACAGTCGCTGGCTGAATTGAATTGGGTGACAGCTCGCTGTGGATGAGGGAGGGCTCTGCCTCTGCTCCATCTGTCAGGTTGTGGGCATGACAGAGGAGGGAAAAGACGGCACAAAACATTCCACAGACACGGAGATGGTGGGGCCGAAGGGGATTTTACATGTATCGTGATATGGTTTCGTGGAATTTTATTGACTCAACATTTCTGCTCGCACCACTTTGCCTCTTGTCTATGACGCTCTCACACAGACAGAAAAAAACAGTCAGTCAGACAGGTGCACAGCAGGATGCAGCCCGTCCTGCTGGGACAGGGGGGGGGGGGGCTACATCCACTGACCTCCATCTTTTTTTTAAATTTTGCACTTGTTTGAGCTGAACTAAATTGGACATTTTCCGATAGGCTGGATTACAGCCTCCTCTTATATCACTCCTTTTTTGTGACCTTTAAAATCTTTAAATTCTTATTGTATTCACGGGATATACCAAAAGGAAAAAACAGTTTAAGCTTTAATGCAGACATTGCATGCATTCATTTAGTGCAGTGCGAGAAAGAAACATGATCTTCCCACCTACATGCGACTGAGAATTACTCACCATGTTTTAATTAATGCTTACGGTTACCTAAAGGATTTTTTTACTGAATTATTGATTTTCCTTAAGACTCCAACAGGTCCACTTGTAGATGTTACACCTTAATCATTTTTTATTTTATGGAATGATGAGAATACTGATGGATTTATGTATTTCTAATGTTGCAGAACATACAGTTCTTCTCAAATATATCATTTTCTTTTCAAACAAAATAGTGGATAATCTTAATAAGAGATCTGTTGGCTACTTTGAATTTTTTGTGAAAGTATTATACCGTGTCAATCTTTAATCGGTGTGTGTTTTTGCATCCAGGTCGCCATGCGGAGGACATTTTTGGCGAACTGTTCAATGAAGCCAACAGTTTTTACCTGAGAATGAGCAGCCTGCAGGAAAGAGTGGACCAGCTGGCCGTAAAAGTCACCCAGCTCGACTCCACCGTGGAGGAAGGTTAGTCTTTTGTGTGTGTGTGTGTCTGTTTGTGTGTGTATGTCCTCCCGATCACAGGATTACGGTGGCTGTTATCTAAGTGCTCAGGTGTATGTGGTTGTGTATTATTGTGGGCTTTTTTTGGTGGTGTGGGGGAATAAAATTGGTTCCTGAAGAACGAGTCCTATGCATGTATCCACCAGTGTGATTAAGTAAGTGCACTGTAACTCAGTACTACTAAAACATTATTACCTCTTTTCCCTTTTGTTTACCTTAGTTGCCGTCACATTTGTGTCTCAGTTTGTCTCTGTGTGTATTTGTTTTATGTGTGTATCTGTCTATAAGTGTGTGTGTTGTCCTTTTAACTCTGTCTATATGGGTTCCTCATGTTAATGTTTTATTTGCGAGGACACTTGTGGAAATGAAGGACCTTTTCCACATGAGCCGTAACAAAATAATCAACATCACCCTCATGAAAGTAGTCACAATGTACAACTGTAATGGACCACTTATGTCCTATGGACAACCTCAACTTTTCCATTTGGAAATCGGTGTTTTGTCTCTTTCTGCGCCACACTTGTGTGTCATGATTGTGTGCGTTTGGACGCCAAATAAGCGTTTTAGTGAACACAGAGGGAATAAACACGTAGACACGTGATGCTCTGAAAGGCTATTACTCAGGAGATGCGTTTGTGGGTAAGTGGTTGTGGGAGTCTGACTCTCCATCATTAAACTTTTCACTGTCTCGGAGGGTCGATGTTCTTAATGTAATAATTGATAGGCCTCTCAAACACAAACATGCATGCACATGGACAGAGTGGTTTTGACGGGTTTCCAGAAGATATACAGTGGCCCCAGAGGCCAAATTTGACTCACTTCTTATCCGGGATTGAAGAAACCACTTCCTGTATATGAAATTCTTTCCTACTTTCTGTGTTTCTGTGTTCTTTTCCCATGTCTGTGATACATATTTGTTATGCCTCTCCATCCTCTCTTTTCCTTCTTTCTGTAACCTCAACCTTTCTGCTTTACATTGGCTTTCTTTAGTAGGTTTTAGTTCTTTTTGTCGTCCTGCTTTTCTCGTCTGTTTCCTGTCTAGTTTCGCACTTCCCCGATTCCCTTTTCTTTCTCTCTCTCTCTCTCTCCTCTCTGATTCTGCCAAGTCATTCTGCAGCACAGCAGCCTCAGTCAGCATCAGAGCAGCACAGATGGGGAAGAAAAGGAAAAACTCAGCAGTCTTTCATCTTGTCTTTCCGTTCCTTCTCACTCCTCTTCCCCACCGACTCGCCTCCTGATCCTCCTACAAACAAACCATTCCACTGTCCTTCAGTTTCCATCACACTTCTGTCCTCTCATCTTTTACTCCACACCGTCTCTCTCATCCATCATCATTGTCCACCCTGTTTTTTAATCCGTTTTTCCGCATTCTTCCATGCAGATGGGAAAAGTAACTCGGTGGATGCTTTCTAACAAAAGGAGGGGGCGCAAACAAAAGGGAGGGACTGCCAGTATATAAGAAAAATCTGTAGTTTTAACCGGATTATTTATAAAGATCTGTATCCGATCACTTTCTAAATAGGAGATTTTAAGCGACCATCAAGAAAATCTGTAATTTGCATGTGCTAGGCTCCATCTGTGTTTATGGAAGCGTTTTTCCATTCATTACAAATCAAGTGCATGAAAATGTGTTTGCTAGGCCACACCGGAACACATTTAATCACCCGGTGATCAAATTTGTCTGTTAATTACTTATAATTAACACCTTAGCAAAGATGACGATGTGGAAATAATCTGAGAGACCTGAAGGTATAAAGAGATAGAATGCGAATTATGTGAGGGCAATGATTCTGCTTTAAACAGAAATACGCCTGATCCAGGGAGATAGAGGCGTCTTTGAAAATGCATCTGAAAAAAAAGTCGCATTGGCTGTTGGTTTCTGTGGATTATTCATTTGGCCGCAGGGACCGAAGTTTAGGAAGAAACGATCAAACAGCAGGCAGGCAGCAAGGAGGGTCCCCTGACTACAAAGTTACACAAACACTCTCACACACACTCACACAGCGAGATTAAACATCCAAATGCCCTTTAGTTTAGTTCTTTTTGTGTGTGGTTGCAGTCTGGGGAATTTCAGGTGCAGCGCTAGAAAAGAAAAAAACTGTCTGACAGAAAAATTCAAACGCGGAAGAACAAATATTTTAGTGAACCAATGACCAACAAAGATGAAAAAAAATACATTTTATGTTTTTTAATTTTTCTGTGGTATTCTTTTTGTTCTTTTTTGACACTGTGAACAGAAACTTAACCAAACAGACACACTTCCAGACATGTTCTCCTCAAATTTGTTTTTCTAGTCTTAGATGCTTCAATTTCAGTTGGATAGACATAGTTTAATCCTATTACACATTTGACTGAAACACACACTGATCCTGCCCATGTGCAAACATGTGTATCATGAGTCTCTAGCCATCTGGTAAATCCTGGGTAGCTTTACATCTAAGCGGTTAAAAGGTTAAAAAGCTGACACACACGCATGGAATAGTTTTTATAATATCTATTATGCACAGACGTAGCGTACTAGTACTCGCTATTATTGATGCAGAGTGATATTTGTTTGTGTTGGAAGTGCATCAGATCCCTACTAAGCTGATTCTACAAGCTAAAAGATTCCTCTTTTCCCCTTTTGTGTTATCACCACCTTCTTGGAGCCCACATACATCTAGCTCTGTTTAACTGGTGTCCTGTCCAGTATCATTTGACATTTGACAAAGACCTGGTGCCGTAAGTCTTCCTTGTCTTCCATCAAACGTTCTTGTGTGTTGACGTCTCTCAGAGCATCTTGTACATTTTCCTGGCAGATGGCGAATAAATCCTCCATGCATTACTGCCACCTACCAGGCGGGAGTGTGTGTGCATTAGTGTTACATGTGTGTCTGAATTTAGTGAAGAAAGAAATCTCCAATTGAAGGCATTGTGGGTTTTGTTTTTCCTGTAATTTAAGGTGAAAGTCCTTTAAATGCTCAGCTTTGAAAACTATCTAGACTCCTTTAAATCTACATTTTCTCATCTCTCTCGTTTTGCCTCATAAACCTTTAGACAGAATTTGTTGGGATGAAATGATGGTGTGATTATTGGGGATATTATGAAGCTAGAGTCTTAAAAAGCTATTACCCTTCCCGCCCCCCTCTTCGACACCACAAAATCCTCACTTAATTCATGACTGTAAAGTTCACAGATCTGGAACCAGAGGGCAGCGCTTCTCATTTGGGATTTAGCCGCTAATCCACCTCCAGTCAAAGACACCTAACAGCTGTTTCAAAGGGAATTATGATGACAAATATAATTAAGAACAGCACACGATTTTGCTCATTTTCTCATTATCGGGTATTTTTGTTTTTAAGCCTCGGCTAAGACTCTACTTCTTCTTCTTTGTTTCCAGTCTCACTGCAGGATATCAACATGAGAAAGGCCTTTAAGAGCAGCACAATCCAGGACCAGCAGGTGGTGTCTAGGACGTCTGTGCCCAACCCAGTGGTGGAGATGTACCACCGCTGCGACAAGCCCCCCCCGCTCAACATTCTCAGTCCCTACAGGTCAGGAATGGTTCCCGTCTGTCCGTTGGGGAATGCTTTCCTGACCTCCCTTTCACCGCTTTCTCCGGTTTCCCCCCCTCCCCCGGCAGGGACGACAAGAAGGACGCTCTGAAGTTCTACACCGACCCATCCTACTTCTTCAACCTGTGGAAGGAGAAGATGCTGCAGGCCACCGAGGACAAACGCAAAGAGAAGAGGAGGCAGAAGGTTTGTGTTTGTCGGTGTGTGCAAAATGGAGAGCGTTTGTGGGTGAGAGAAAAGCTCACGAAACTCGTGTTCTCCTTTGGCTTGCTGATGTGCTTTCTCCAGCCGAACTGTGCCGTTCCGATGCCGTTATATCGGTTATACCAGTGATACCGCACTCCCCATTTAGCTTTGCTCTGTTCCGTCTTTGGTTGCTCATACAGCAGCAGTTAGACAACTAACGGTTCAAAGGGAAGCAAATATGATAAAACGTGACCCTTAAAGTTAGCGTGTTTAAACAAAGATATCTTCTAGAGACGCAACTAAAGGAAACGCGCTCTTGGTCGTAAGAGGGGTTTTAAGGGTCCCAGCAGCAAAATCAGATGGGACCATGGCTCAGTTGTGAGAGGGCTTGTCTTCCAATGGTGGTTCGAGCCCAGGCTAGATACCTAAGTGTCTTTGGGGCAATTTGAACCCCAAAATGCTTGCAATGCATGCACCTCTAACAGGCAGCATTGTTCTGTGTCCTGTTCGTGCTGGTCCCAACCCCGGATAAACGCAAGGGTGGTCTCGAGGGGGGCCCCCAGCGTAAAAACCTTATCAACCCCTGAAAGGAAAAAGCCAAAAATGCAACAACTTGAGCCGAACATGCCAAGGAGTGAACATTTTATCAATAGTAACCCGGTCAGTTTGGACACTTTTTAAAACTGCAATAAAATAAAGAAATGCAAATATATATGGAAAAACATGAATTGCCTATTGCTAATAATTTGTTGCAGCAAAAGGGCTAAATTAAGACTATCAAGCAGTCAGCAGAAGTTAAGTGTACAGCTGGCTGGTTTATCCCAGGCCTCTAGTATTAGTTAATGAGCAAGTCACAACTAATTCCACCTGGCAGTAACTCCTTCAGCCACTTGTTGGTTCATCTATTACCCAGACTGTGGGTTAACATGGAGAAGCTGGTTGTTAGCATTGTTATAACTATTATCATTAGCAGCTATTTTTCTATGAGCTAAATCTTTGTACTGTATTGGTAATAAGCCTGGCAAAGCCAACTGGATTATCTTGGCTTAACTTGGCTAGGTTTTTTTATTTATTTTTTTCAAACCTTGGTTTTGACTAGTCTATCGGGTTAAAAAACTAACCCGATAGACAAACCTAAGTAACTGAACACAAGTGTTCAGTTACACAAGTGTTCAGTTACCCAAAAAAGCTCAAATTCAGTATGCAGTGATAGTAAAGTTTTGTAAGTGAGAGTAAAGTTTTATCAGAGCGAGTTATGTTTTTTTATTTTTTTAATAATAAAATATTTTTTTCTAGAACGAGTGTGTTAAATGCTAAAATAAGTCAAAAGAGTCACTAGAATAAACTGAAGAAAAATGTGCCTGCAGGTAGAAGGTAGATCTCCCTGATATTCTTTGATTTCATCAGTGACATTGGTGATTCGCACACGATTCTGACTGCCGTAAAAAAAAATCTGCCATGATTTAAAGTCAGTCTCACGCCCACCCGTCTGTCCGTATCCCTGAGTACTTGCTGCTGCATGTGCTGGCTGTTCTTTGTCAATGTTTCTGTTGAATTTGATGCTGCTCACATTTTTCTGTTTCCCTCCCTTTTATCTGGGGTCTTTTCCGAGGCAAAAACCTCTAGTGACAACGTAGCTTAAGTTGTCAGGAAAAAAACAGGAGCTCGAATCCCAGAAGAATCTGCTGGAGCCCAGCTCGACTTTAGCTGCCCTGTATTCCCTTTCTTATCTCTAATTTACCCATAGCTGCCCGGTGTTAGAAGACGCGACACCCCTTCCTGCTCTTCCTCTGCTCAGTCTAACGCACCAGCTTGTCTCTTTCCCATGTTTCCATAGGGCTGTCCGGCCCACCCTGACAGGCCCCACTCCAGACAGGCCCCACCCAGGAGCCCCCTGTCTATCTCTGTAAGAAAACCCCGACCCCCCCTAACCGGCCCCCTCACTTTCCTCTCCCCCTCCCTCACACTCACCACCCGACACTTCACACATCCACTTTTCGTAGAGCGCGTCGGAGCACAGGTAAGGCGCTAGCCAAGAGGAACGCAGTGGGAAACACCAACATCTCAACACAAAACAGGGACGAATTTACGGCAACAGACAAAGCCCAACACACTCCCTATTGTTTGTGTCCGTGCGTGTCATGTCACGTCAGCTTGCTACCTCATCCTCGCTCTAACCCCCCCTGTGTTTGGTTTGGTTTGGTTGCTGTTTTGTGGTCTCACGCGTTTCGGATCTATCGCCCACCGTGCACCAAGTGTCTGTGTCGTCTAATAGTGACCGGCTAGTAAGTAGACTAGTTTGTGTGTTTGCTTCGGTGGGACTCTTTCTTCCCTCGACGGTGAAAAAGCCGGTGAATGGATCCAGGTTGTATTCCCTCTGCAGAAGGGAATATAATCGGTAATCAATCATCCATGACCCGGGTCCTCTCCATTCTGTTTGTGTGTCTCACAGGAGCAGCAGAAACAGGTAGAAGACCCAAGCAGGGAAGTGAAAAAGGTATCGATTCCGTTCCATAATAGTTTTTCAATGTATTTCCATTTGATTACGTCCCTCTGTGATAAATTCATGATCTGCATTGTGAAAGTTTGATGAAGTGATGGTTGTCCCCACCGATACAAGACTCTCAGAAAAACACAAGCAGAGAAGAAAACTCATTTCCACATTGATGTTTGCATTGACCACGATGCAGCTGTCCTGGTTTCCCATTAGCTTGGCGGCGTTGAGCCGAAACACAAGCAATAACTGATCTCATCCTCTTAGATCCTTTTTACAGTGCAAACACCACAACCAACAGTCCACATTGGGATCCGAGTTTCACCTCATAGGAGTTCAACTTTGTGGCTCTTGACCAAAAGTGTCTCATCAATGTGAAAGAATTATTTGGACATTAGATACGTCTTAAATATTGTAATAAAAAAAAACTATATTTGCACAGAGCGTTGCTTTAAATCTGACAATCACAATCATGTTTAAAGTATGAGCCATTTCCACTTTAAAAATGATTATTTAACACTAAGCCGCTTTGACCTCTTGTTATTTTCAAGCAGAGGAAAGCCAAAGGACCAAAACAGCACGTCCAATACAGCTATACTCTTAGAGATTTTTGATACTGCCTGCAAATCACAGACACAAGCTTTAACCTGCGGGGGGGCTGATGCGAGAATACTTCCCTCATTTGCACGGAAAGTGCATTTTGCTTTAGATTTATTCAGGATTAACGCGGCGATGAAAACAAAAAGCTTACAAGCACACCAGAGTATGAAAAATATAATAGCCCATTCAAATGGTGCAACTAAGGCCTAAAAAAGTCCTCCTTAAGTGTTGAAAGTCTAATAAACAACCTCCCGACACTGCCTATTGATGATGATCAAAAAAGGTATTTCTTTTACATTTTCTAACCTGACCAGTGCTTATCATCCACAATATTTAGATCGAGTTATGTGGTATTTACAGCTGTCTATATACTGTGTAGTTTTATTTTCTTTTAACTATTTAAGTCAAAGCAGGGTTAGTTTTTATTCAGAGAAAGGTAATGCATTTAGCCACAGTGGAAAAAAAGGTAGATAGACCTTCTGTCTTAAAATTGGACTGTTTTTTTTATCTCCTCTGGAAGGCATTTGCTGCACTTCAGTGTCACGTGAACAAACACACAGCTGAATTAAAAATGCAAACAAAAAGGACAAACTGTACAGATAACTGTTTCTCTGCTGGCTGAAGGTGCGTAAGGCCCGTAACAGGCGTCAGGAATGGAACGTCCTGGCCTACGACAAAGAGTTCAGACCGGACGCCAAGCTCACCCCGTCTCCTTACCACGGCATGTCTTCTGAGGGATCCCTGTCCCCCGACAGCAGGTACAAACACACAAAACAGTCTTCCAACACAAGCTAGGTTTTCCTCTGGGTTGCCAAATGGCTCATTCTTAACAGGCTAGATTCCATGTGAGGAGTTTGAGTGTCAAGCTGAATTTTTCTTGTTTGAAATAGTGTAAAGAATAATAGCTCAAGAAAGATAAAGAAAAATGAATGAACTAGCCATAAAACTGAAAAATTCCAGCTGCAACAAACGGCTGCCAATGTTCTTAAAAGCTCTGTGCTGCCCTCTTCTGGAGGAAGTCGTTTTAAATCAAATCATTATGTATTTTCTGTAGATTTGACAGCTTCGTTCTTACTCCTTTTACAATAAACACGACAGGGTCTTGGTTGGAAAACTACATCCCATTTCTAGTATCTAAATGGGTGTTACAGTTCAAAGTAATCACAAAAAAATTGTGCTATAAACAAATGGACCTGACAGACCAGTGGATGTTTCTCTAAAATCAGCAATTGAACTGTGATCCCTGTTTAGACCAGTGATTAGTGCTGACCAACTTGTCCTTTAGGGTCATTGGATGGGAACCCCTTTTCATCAGTGTTTCATCTAGTTGAGCCCACAACACCTCCAGGAGGCTAGACAGTGATCAAAGGGCCAAATCACCCAAGACGGCCCTCTGGTTACAAGAGATAAAAGAAAATGGAATGTATAGATGATAGATCATTAGGAAGATTGGTTTATTTTGGATTGGGATAAGGAATTTTTGGAATATTTTTATCTCTTTTCCCACAATCCCTAAGAGAAAAGTCAGAGCTCTTGTTTTCTGTCCACCAGATCAATGGCATCTGACTCCTACCCGGCAAGTCCCAACCATCCCTCCAACCAGGCCCCTTGCGCCCCCCATCCCGGCGACCACCACGCCAGGGATCACCTCACTGCGGCAGCCCAGACCCAGTCGCTGGATCGGGGCCTGAGGCCAGCCAACCAGCCGCCGGGGGTGGGCCCGGCCGCGGGGGCGGGGCGACACGTGGCCTCGCTAGGCAGGACCCCATCGGGACACGGGGTACCGGCTGGAGGAGATCTGACGGTTAACGGACCGAGGCAACAGTCTGTTAAAGACTACCGGGCTGCACACGGGTAGGCTTGATAATTTTGTGTCTGTTTTTTTTTCTTCTTCTTATCAGTCAGATAAACCTAAAAACCCTGTTGTTTCAGGGTCAAACTGGATACCCATGACTGTTTTAATGTTTTTTCCTGTTTTTCTTCGCCTCCAACAGCCAGCCCTCCACCATCCCCGAGTACTACATCCCACCGGCCCCTCCTCCACCACCCCCAACTATCCCCTCGGCTCAGACCGCCTTCGACTCGGCCACGGCCCCGCCCTCTGCCGCCGCCGCCTCCGGCCTCCCCCCCACCTCCTCCGCCCTGTCTCGCCCCTACTCCCCCTCCCCTCCTCCTCCCCCGGCCAACTACGTGCCCTCGCCCGCCCACCCGCCCTCGGGCGCTCCCCCGGCCGCCCCTCCGCCCCCGCCTCCCGGAGTGCCCGCCGGACACCTGGCCCACCCGTCCCCCTCGCACGGCGCCGGCGCTCAGGCGGTCGTGGACGCCGCGCCCTCCGCGAGGAAGTCCACCATGCTGGGGATGATCCCCATGAGCGACGCGCGCTCCGACCTGCTGGCCGCCATCCGCAGAGGTAAGTGGGTAGCCAAACGGTATTTGAGAGGCCTTCGGAAGAGACGCCCAACAGCTTCCCTAAAGGCCTCCAAGTATCTCCACGGTCTCAATCCTTCCTTCCTTTCAGGCATCCAGCTGAGAAAGGTGCAGGAGCAGAGGGAACAGGAGGCCAAGCGGGAGCCCGTCGGCAACGACGTGGCGACCATCCTGTCGCGCCGCATCGCGGTGGAGTACAGCGAGTCCGACGACGACTCCGAGCTGGACGAGAACGAGTGGTCCGATTAAAAGAGGAGGACGGGGGGAGGAGAGGTAAAATGGACGGTGTGTGGTAGGCGGAGCTAGAGAGAACACAGCGAGGCGATGTGGCACAGAGCTGAGAGTAAAGGCACGTGGTCCCTTTTAAAAACTCTTAAAGCGATACCCGCGAGGTGTTTCGTCAGCGACGGTGCATGACACAACAAACAAACACTTTTCATGTTCACGGCCCCCCGTTCCGCATAGTTTTCTAACGTAAAAAAAAACAAAACACCAAGCTGTGAAAAACAATGCCAGCCCTCCTCTCATTGGAGCGCATTGGAGCGGTATTCATTTGCTATATTGCAGGTTTTGGAGCTGCAAGTGGGCGGGCCGGTAGTGTGTGTGGGGGGGCGGGGGGGGGTTACTGTGTTTACAAAACAAATGGTATAGCACAAGAAAGACTAATGATAGTGCAATCTTAACTTACCTGCCAAACGAATTGGTGAAAACAAGTCAGGATAATCAGGGAAAAACCATGGCTTATTTGCAGGTAGCTGTGCCCGTTTTTGGAAGTACGCGGCCATTAGGTAAAAGCCCACCTTTTGGGAGTTTGGTCCTCTGGTCACCTGACCAACATCCTCTGTGTCGTGTCCACTGGTTGCCGTGCATGCCTTACAATGGAACTTCTAGCATGTTGGCTAAGTGTGGCCGCACTGATATATTCAAAGTGATGGGATCCTATTTAAACATACAAAAGTGAAGATGTTGTGCGTAGATCTTTGGTTAAAGCTAATCTGGGAGCCCATCTGTTTGTTTTGTCGACGATTTGTCGTGAGCCCATCAGCTAAAGTGACGTTTCAAGAGAGCAATTCGAAGCCGCCTATAATCAAACATGGCCTAGTCAAGTTTTAGGAATACTGTGGACACTATTGCATATCATCAATTTCGGTATATATCTCCCTGGAAATAGGCTGTAAGGTTTGTCGTGTTTTGGTTCTATTTAGGTCTTAAAAATGGACTTTGGTAAAGTGACTGGAAAGCCAAACTCCCAAAAGTCAGAGTAGTCGTTTAGATCGCGTTCTCCCACTGAACCAGTCTGGTGAGACGGCGCCCACACGGGATTCCGCTGGCCTGGGAAGACATGCCTTGTTGAGTTGTAACTCTCTCTCCATATCACCACGTCACAAACTGCTAAGCACGTGGGAAAAAAAACAAAAAAAAACACAAGCTTTCGTGCCATCGTCGTATCTTTTCTGTAGTCATCCCTGGCTCAAAGTGTAACATTTCAGGCCGTGACCGTGTGCTGTGCTCTTCGTTAACCGCTTTTGACCACTCGCAGAGCTGAGCCGGCCCGTCAGAGCCCACCCTTTCACGTGGGCTCACCCTGGACCCACTCTCCGCAGGCGCATTTTCAACTATAAATACATTCGTGTAAGAGACTCACAGCAGTAATATACAGTATATAATCTCTTATCTCTTTTCAGTTACGGTTTGGCTAATCCTCAGTGTGAACTGATTGGAGTGTTGTGCTTTTACAATGTGCTCTTCCTTTTATTTTTCTTTCATTTAATTTCTTCAGAGTGCTGCAGTGAGTTGTTCACTTCGCTTTCTTGTAGGGTGATTTAGAGTCAGTGCCAGATGAGATGAGGTCAATATGTTTCAAAGCAACCGCTTAAAAAAATGAGCCCAACTTTTTTCTTTTATTTTGGGGATTAAACCATACTTTTAAGGTAACGTCAAGCCAATGCAACATTTTTCCAACAGTTAAAGCAACAATTTATTTTGCAGACTCCAATTGTAATGCATTATGGGGAGTGGAGTGCGACTTGTGCTTTTGGGGGCACGGCGGGCGATTTTAAGCTTATTGGAGCTTTTAATGTGCTTCTGTTTTTATGTATGAAATGATCTACATACAGAATACTCTACATTCAGTGATTTGCCAGTTATGTAGAGCTGCTTTCTTTCATTTAAAGTGTTTCTTTCAAATCTTTAAATCTGCTTCTGAGTTTGTTTTCTTTTAGTCAAGTTCTGGCTGAAAATGTGACCAAGTTGAACCTTAATATTTTATCGGTGAGTCTCTCCTGGACATCGACTGAGCGGATTGAAAACATGAGAGCAGGCTCGATCCACATATCTGCAACTGTCTGGATAGGGCCCAAAAGTCGGTAGTTTGTCGTTGTATTGAAACTCAGTAGTTGAGGACAGGGCTCACTCCGCAGGTGCACTCGGTTGAAGAATGCAAATCACATGTGGATTAAGGACTGGATGACGCAGTACGTTGATGGGTTCTTGCTATTCTCCCCAATAGCTTGGAGGAGGATTTCCGAGCTGCGCAGAGAGCAACGTTTGTGGACATTGTTACCGAAACTAAATAGAAGCACACATGAGCAGCTGAAATGCGGATTCACCGCAATGCTGGGGTGAGATTTAACTTTGACAGAAGAGTTTTGAGCCTGTAATCTGCTACAATATCCAAAATGTGACCAAGGTGTGGTTGTTCTGGTGATATATTCTATGGTTGTGTTGTTGTACAGGAGCCTTAGATCCACAAATACAGCTGTACCTGTGTTTTGCAAACCTCAAGCAATCCACTGTGTTAACTGAGATACTAAGCTTTTTTTTTTGTTTTTCTTGAAAAATCCAGCTTTTTTCTTTTTCCCAATTTTTCTCCACAATTTTTAAGTAGCTTTTCCCAAGGCCTCAAATTTGGACATTTAGGGGAGACACAAGTTCACTAGCCAGATGGTAGCCCAAGAGCAGAGCTGGTTTAGGTCTGTTTACAACATTTTGTTATTGATGAGTCATGGATTTGTGCTTTACAGCCGTCCTGAAAACATATAAAGCCAATGACCAATGAGTATTCTTAGTTCCAAAAATTTAAAGAAAAATCGTTCAACACAATTATCCATTTTTAAATGAGTTATTTTGTTTGTAGTTATTCTCAGAACATGATGAACATGGTCTTTAAAGACCATTTTCTCTGGACAAGGTTCAAACAAATTTGTAAATATCCAAGACTGTACTTTTAGAAAGTTTTTCTTATAAAGAAATGATTTTGCTAAGTGTTTGCTTCCCACTGTCTCGGTGTGCTCGGCGTTTGAACACGGTAAGCGGTATGTTGTGTATCTAAGGCCCCTGCCTCGTAAGAAAATGTCCTAATGTGTTGAAAATGTGAGAAACAAATGATGTTGTATAGACTTTTGGTAAGGCTGCCTGTAAAGTTATTCACATTTGGTTTAATATAACCTAGACGATGAAACAAAGTTAAAACTGTGTATTGCACACTAAAATCAACTGTAAGCAAGTATGCATGTACCTATAGACAATAAATGGTGGAAAAAAAGGGCTGTCTTATTTGTTTTTTATCTTTTCACGTGTTAAACATTTTCGTAAGATTTCAGTCAAGGTTGCAGTCATTGTCATTGGTTTCTAAATACCCCTTTGAGATGGAAATCATGTTCTAAGGGGTGACAAACCTGTCCTCAGTGACAGCCTGTGACGGTGGCATTTATTGAGCAGCATCAGTCATCTCCTGACAGTGACGTGAATCCAGCAGTCATCGCTCCGCACTTTCAGCGCCGCCACGCCGCCACGGTTCCGGTCCGCTCCAGCGCCGTGCTGTTTCTGTGCCTTGGCAGGGCGGAGGAGGAAGCGGCGGGGGGCTGTTTGTCATTTTGAGACACAGATGGTGACACAGCAGAGAAGGAGCCATGAGGTCAGTAACAAAAAAAACCCACAAATAACAAACAAACAAAAAAAAAAACGCAGGCCACAGAGAAAAGAATGTCTTTCCATATTTGTCAGAATTTTTCTTAAATGGCGCGTTGAAATATTTATCTATTTTTCTTCTTTTTACTTAAATCTAATTCAAGCTAGGAGCTCATTTAGGAATCAACTGTTTGTGAAGAAGTCTATTCGGGAGGCAATACCCACCTCATGTAATCCAGCATGAATCATGGGTATATTGCATTTAAGAGGGCCTCTTGCTTTCCTATGCAAAGATAAAAATGAGTATTACTTCAAGTAGCACTGTAGCACAAAAGTAAAGCAAGTTACTGCCAGTTACTGTTACAATTAGAATTTCATTGACTGGGTCCAGAGAGGCCGAGTCAATATTGATCGATGCTAAAACTGTTTTGCTGATTAAGAAATTATAAATGACTTGTGACTTGTCTCATAGGGGCAAGTAGCATTTCATTGGCCAAAGTTGAATCTTCTAAACCAAAGGCATCAGTAAAATTCAGTTCCACAGCTTCTCTTCGTAGATTTGTTTTATCTGATTAGTAATTATGTCGACAACAATACTTGGAACGATCAAAGTTGGCAAGCCACCAGTTATCCGTTCTCAACACTTTCTTTGTTTTGTAGCGTATCCCTGGAGACAATGAGCAAGACAGACCGCCAGTCCACCCAACCTGGAGAGCATCCAAACCCCGCACAGGAAGGCTCCAGGCAAGATTCAAAGTGGGAATCTTCCTGCTGTGAAGTGACGGTGCTGATCACGGCTCACAGATAACTCTGTCAGATGTGAACACGCGTTGCTTAATTAACTCAGCTAACACTTTCATGGCTCAAAGCTTCGCTGATTTAATACTTAAAGTATCACCGTTTTTTTTTCGCACATTTTAATGAAAAGAGCACATTTTGAAATATTGTTTAACAGAGCTTGCTACAAAAACATGGCCCAAAACAAATTTGCAATACAAAAAGATACGTTTAAAACAGAATTCCAATCTTCTCTCATGGGCCTCTGGCCTGGCCCTACTCCTATATTCTTAATGTTTTTGTAATTGGAGTTACTGTATGTGGCTCTTTTCTGTGAAAGGTACAGAAATAATGGCCAGATGTCAATCGTCTTAAAAGAAGAGGGTTGCCTCAGTTCACATTATGTACACAGTCATGAGCAAGGAACAGCTCATGGACTTTGACCATTACTGAGACTTCTTGGGAAAATAAGAGGCCTTAAACACCAAAAATGTGTTTAGTACACCTCTATCTTGTCTATATTTACCTTTGATGTTGATTCAGATCTATACGGGGATCACCCG